CCCCCACATACATACACACCAGGTCTAAGCCCCCCCCCAACACGTCCACCAAGCCTAGGACCCCCTCCCCACTCCAACCCACCAGGCATAGGACCCTCCCACACACACATCCAGGCCTAGGATCCCCCCCACACCCCCACCAGGATTAGATGAACCCCAAACACACTCTCACCAAACATAAGGACACCCCCCCCAAACACACACCCACCAGACCTCGGACCCCCTCCCCACCCGGCTTAGGATTCCCCCCAATACACCCACCACACCTAGGACCTCCCTCCCAAACACACACTCACCACGCATAGGACCCCCCATCCCCCCCAAACACACTCACCAGGCATAGGACACCCTCCCCACACACACCCCCACCAGGCCTAGGACCCTCTCCTCACCCCACACCCACCAGACCTCCTCCATACACACACACCAAGGCTAGGACCCTGCCCCAGGAGCCGGCACCACAGCGGGAAGCGGGTGCCAACACAGGAGCCAGGACACCTGGGTTCCTTTCCCAGCTCTGCCAGTGCCCTTCCCCTTGTGATGAGCTCTCTGGGAACCCAGGAGTCCTGCCCCCAACCACCTATTAGATACTCCTACTCTTTGCCCAGAGCTGGTGAAAAGCCCAGGAGCCCCAGCACCCCCTGCTCTGCACCACTGGCTCCCAGTCAGAGCTGGGGATGGAACCCAGGAGTCCCCAAAGGGACCCCTAAACCCCCGCCAGCCCAGTGAACGCATTTCAGGGATAGCAAATCCACCCCCCCACCATATTAATTGCCCCTGGGTCTCAGGTCAAGATAAACCCTCCCTGGCCAGTCCCCAGAGCTGCCAATTAACCAGGGCACTAACGCAGCCTGGCGGGCACCCGCCGCCCCCCTCCCTTTACCAATTAAAGTGCATTATTGAATTATTTTGCTGATCCCTTGACCTCTGACCCCAGGCCTGGGGGCTGTCAGAGGGGGTCAGGGATGGAGCAGCTGTCAGGCACTGGCAGGTGGGGGGTCGGTCTTGGCTCACAGTGCCACGGGAGTCCAGCCTGGGCCAGGGGAAGGTTCCAGGGGGTGTAGGGCAGGCAGGATCAGGCCCGCAGGGTGTTACCTAGAGCCCCCTGTACCCAGGCCTGAGGCCCCATGGGTCACCCTCCACCACCCTACGAGCCACCGGCTATACCAAGACCCCTCCTGCCACCCCTGTGTGCCCCCCACACCCCTCCCCTGCCCCCCCAGCTGTATTACCCCGGTCTGGGCCATGCCAAAGGGCCCCGGGTTCATGCCCAGGAAGAGGACGTCAGCACTAGGCCGGCAGTATCGGCGCACATAGTCCTGGTGGGGCTCCCAGGCGTACTCCAGCGGGTTGTACACGTAGCAGACGGGCTCAGGGAACACCAGCTCCCGCAGGCGGGCGTTCAACTCCAGCTCGGCCCGCAGGAACTGGGCTGCCAGGCTGTCACCCTCCGGGAAAGCCAGCACCGCGGGCAGGGCGCTGGGGGGCCCCGCCACCCCCTCCATCACGCGGCCAGCGCCTGTCAGACAGAAACCTGGTTGTGAGACCCCCTTGGCAGGGGACACAGGTCAGAGGGACCTCAGCAAAGCCCCCATTCCCCAATGCTGGGGGACACGTGCTGGAGCCGGGGGCCTGCTCCAGCCCGCACTGGGGGTTCGAACTTGGATCCTGGAGGCGGGTGGCACTGTCATTCCCCTGAGCCTGGTGGTGCCATTGAGCAGGATCCAGAAACGCAAGGGCCTGGGCACCACCCTCGGCTCAATGCAGCCAGTCTGGATATCCCACATCCCCTGGCACCCCATAGCACCCCGTCTCCCTCCCCGGCAGCCAGCCCTCATTGCGAGGCCTCTCTCTCTGGCATGCCGATTTCCATCACTGCCCTGGTTCCCAGTGAACCGGGAGACCTCTGCCTATAGCCCTCCGTGGGGAATGGGCTTTATAGCCAGTTTTATGGCTGCCATTAGCGACGCCGCTACAAGCCATCCCTGTAAATAATCTCTAAATGCTTGGCGCTGTGATTAAAAATATCAAGCCCCGCGCGTGCTACCGGTGAGCTCTCCCCCATGCCCCAGCCTCCGACGAAAGAGCCCACACCCTGGGAAGAACGCGCCGTCGGGTCCCACGCCACGGAGATGGGGGTCCCGCGCTGGAGCACCCAAGGGGCCCCTCTGCAGGCCAGGGCAGCAGGGCGTCAGGCGCTGTACAAATCAGAGAGAAAAGGCAGCTCCCGCCTCCAAAAGCTATGAGGCCGCGTCAAAATTGGAGAAACGGGGTCCAAGGAGGTCATGTCATCACGGATCAGTTGTCAACACACAGTCGGCCCTAACTGCCCTCATAAAGGCTCCCCACACCGTGACCCAAGGAGGTGGAAACTGAGGCACACTGTACCCACATCACTTGCACGGTACAATGGTGGCAGAAACCAGGTGTCCTGTGTGATAGCCCCGCGACCCAGCCTGCCCAGGCCAGGGCTTTTCAATTCACCTCTCAAGGTCTAGAATGCCTTTGAGGGCCCTCACTGCCAAGTGAGTATCAACTTGGACAGGTGTTTTAAGACCCCTGGCTGGAAAAGAGGGATGGACTTTCCCCCCAGACCACAATAAAGCTGCGTGGGTCCCCTGGTCAGACCCCCCAGCCTCACACCCTGTCCAGGTGGATGGGGCAGCACAGTACCTGGACACCCAGTCCCTGCCACCGCCACCTCCGAGCCCCGGCCAGGAGCTGCAGCTTCAATAAGGCATTGCGCTTCCGCATTGGAAACCTCCAGCAGCACAGAGCAAGGAAAAACCAACCCGCTATGGGATGATTTGGGCCCTCCAGGGCACCAAGCCCAGCTCACTCTGACCCCTCCAGCCTCCAATGCCATGGGGGGGGGGGAGCACTGAGGGACCCCAATCTCAAGTGCTGAAGGGGAGCCCACCCCTGAGCATGTGCTGGGCAGGGGACAGAGCAGTTGTGGAAGCGTGGGACATGGGAAAGGGCTCAATGGACACGAACCGGGAGCCTGCACCCAGCTCTGCCGTCACAACCAGGGACGGGGAGGCCTGTCATGGGGGGCTAACAGAGGCAGTGATGCTGCAGCTCATGGGATGACCAAAGTTACTTTTATTTAACAGTCAAACCAACCAGGAATCAGTTCATGGAGAGGTGGGGGCAGGTAATTGCCTTATTATAGAAAACCAAGTTGGAGTGGGGCTATTTACATTCCTGGGATGTGGGGGGGGTACCTCTAGAAAAGGGGATTTGGAGCCAAACTTGGCAGCTTGGGTCATCATCAGGGATCCAGGTTCTCCGTTTCCCATGGAAAAACAGAAAACCGCAGATTTCCCTATTTTACGAGAGAAAACCCAGATTTTACCTTTGGGCAGAGAAACCCATGGATTTCCCACTTTTGCAGCGGGGGAGGGAGAGGGGGAAGGGCAGGGCAGGGCCTCAGGCTCTCAGTCACCCAGGGCTTGGTCCAGGCTTGCTGTTTCTCCTGGAGCCCGTCAGGTAAGTGAGGCTTGCAGTGGGGAGCCAGCTCCGTGCTCCTGCTGCAGCGCCGTTGACTTCTGTTCGGGGGCAGCGGGCTGCGGACCTGGGTCCCTGGCCCCATCCAGCAGGCTGCAGGGTAGAGTCTGTGGGTCAGAGGCAAGGGGCACGAGCAGGGCTGGGGAGTATGGAGGGGGGTGAGGGACATCGGCAGGGCTGGGGGGGGGCCTTTCATTTTAATCACGGATTTGGGGGGTTTTATCAGAGAATTTGCAATTTTTTTATCAGGGAAAAGCAGGATCCCTGCTGTTCAGTGTCCTGAGGATAGAGGGGGCTCCGGCATAGTTGTGTGGTCCTAGGAGGGTGTCAAAGGTTGGCCGGTCCCAGCAAGAATGGCTCCCCCGCCAAGGAGGGGCAGGGGTGGCCCCGTGCTCCACCAGCCCCCTGTCCCCCCAGTGCGCCATGGCAGGGGCTAAGAGGGGGGCTGTGAGGCTCTGCTGTGGGCGGGCGGGTGCGGGCGGACGGCGGCTTCCATGCACTCGGTCTGGCGGGCCAGGAGCCCCAGCAGTGTGTGCTGCGTCTCGCGCTCCATGCGCAGGTTCTCGCGCAGCAGCTCCACTGTCTCCCGGGCCACAGCCACCACCTCGCGAGTGCCCTCGGCGATGCGCTGGGCCGGCAGACTGGCGGCCCGACGGGCCTGGAGGATGCCGCGGCGCAGCAGGTCAGCACACCGGTCCTGGTGGTACTCCATGCGGGAGCGCCACTCCTCAGCCGCCCGCGCCCGCCGCCCC